ACGTCACATGACGCGCAAGCATTGAAAGTTTACATGTCATACTTTTTTTACGGCATAACGTATGATTCGTTAGATTGTGTATATATCGAGTCATTATGCTCTTAATTGTGCTATCCTTGTATGAACCGTATACAAAAATATCATAAACTCTCGCAGCCATAGTTTTTGTCTGATTTGAATGAGTAGAACTAAATGATATTACATTGTGATTTTAATTGATCACTATGGACTTTCATTATCATTAAGGCTTTATTCTTTGTGTAGAACAATTTTATTTTTCAATATCATCAGAATCTTCTTGTTGAAATTTGTGTCTCGTATACCTGATACTTTAGTAATATGAAACCAGCCAGCTTTAGTATTTTAATATGTTTATTTACATACATTGTAATTAATAAACAACATAAATAACATAAGTACTTTAAAATCACAGTAATGATCACAGTCAAATTTCTTGAAAAATATGGGAAAAAAACAATACACAAATAAAATAATGATTACAATGATTGAGTGATTCTATACTTACAAAAGACACGAACATTAAAACATGAAATATACTGCATTACTCATGACTCTATGTTTATTTAGCATATATGAAAAGAGGCCCACGGACGTCATGAGAAGTGAACAAAAAAGTAAATAGCATAATGATTTGACAAAAATACACTCAATTATCACAGTCAAATTTTTTGAAATAAAACTTAAAAATGAAAATAAAAATGATTATCGACAATAACATTTTTGAAAATGATTTAATGGTGAAGTAGAATAGTATAGATATAAAAATGATGCCCTCATTGTCCAAATTTATTTGCAGAAATTAGCTGACTTATTATTATTGAAAATTACCGTTACATTATTACCAAGCAACTTACGACTTAACAAGTCAACAATTTATTCAATTAAACAATCCTACTATTGTTGACATTGTTTCGAGAGCTAATTGTTATTTTGATCAGTATTATGCGTCTTCTTTACATGTTTATACACAGAACTACTGTGTTTATATCTCTATCCGCACACATGACACCCGTGTCTTCTGTCTTCACTGTGTGTGACCAGATGAACCTTTAGGTCATCTTTGGTGACTGCATTGTGACCACACACATCACACGTACACATTTTATTTCTTGCTTCCCTAGATTCGTGTAAAGCAAGTGTCTGGGCCCTGGCAAAGTCTTTTCCACATGTCTTGCAGACGAACTTTTTGGTTTCATCATGGACAGAGTATCTATAAAATAAAATTTAAATGTGTACAACTGAAGAGAAAAAAAACCAACGGAAAATTTGACCATAATAATGTATTTACCTTTACAATTGAAGTGCTACATATACACACTCTAATAATATGTGGGAAACGGTGTCACATAATTTATCAAGTTTAGTTTCTGAAACACTATTAATTATGGCAGTTTCTAAAAAAAATGTGTTAATTCCATTTTATAGCAGTATGTACTCATGTAAATATTCACGATATTCTGGCGGAACGAGATTTTATCCACTTCATGATATGAAACTTCCTTTATATTAATCTTCATTAACAACGTAAACGTTATAAAAAAACTTGAATCTAACGTACAAAAGCACTGTTGCAGTTTTTCCTAGTACATGTATATGTATAATTGAAGGTTAAAGTAACTCTTTGCAAAAATAACACTGAAAGAATTACCTGTGGCTTTCCAACTCTCGCGATGAAGCAAATCCCTTTCCACAGCATGTGAAAGGTAGCGTCCCAGAATGTCCACGTTCATGAGTTCTTAGATTTCTTTTATACTTGAAACCTTTCCCGCATTGAGAGCATACAAATGTGTTGTCAGCCATTCTGAAATAGGAGAAAACACGATATATTGCATAAGATAAGAAAGAGATTTAAACAACTTCAAACTGTGTGCCTAAATATTTAAATTTATCACACACCCGTGCCGATTTTGCGACTCCGTAAAAATGTAATTGCACGGCCGTGCATATATTTTGACGTGACGTCATTAGCGTTATACAAACATAGTGTAAAGACGCGCTAAATGTCAGCGTTATACTATATAGGCGCGCCAGTGAAAAATGACTCTATTTCACTTTAACCGGTCTTTATTTTGGGTGTGTCATAAATAGAATATTAAATTCGTGTAAGTTCATTACTGAATTTATTGAACTCGTTGAATAAAATGATATTATGCTCACCAAAGGCTAGCATAATATAATTTTATTCAACTGCTGCAATAAATTCAGTATTTAACTTACATTCATTTAATATCCTCTCTATATGTAAACGGAGCCCTGAATTTGTTTGATTTGACTCCATTCATGAGTGCGAAACAAGTAACTGGTATTGCTTGCACAATCATGCCTGTGTAATTACGAACGAGCAAATAAATTTCATTGAACAGAGGCCAATTTTACGACCATCAAAGTTAGATAAAGCGCGGCAAGTAAAATTTTAAAAAGAAAAACGCATACGCTTTTAAGAATAAACGTCGTTTGGTTAATAAAAATTGGTTTCGGTGGTTAACATAATAATGTAAAAGTAAAAGTATGCACGCTGCTTCGTATTTTCAGTCAATTCTGAAAACTGCTTTAAACTGTAGTCCGTTTATTTTGGCTTGGAACTGGTGCCAGAATTGAAAATTGAAGAAAATGTAAGATTTACGCAATAAATTGTAACAAAATAGAAATATTTAGGCAGGATTTTGCCTTCGATATTCCCGGTTGATGTTAAAGTGGTCTTTAAATCATCGTATAGATCAGGTAATGCAAAAAACAAAGTTGCTTGCAACTGCAGTCCGCTCGTATACAAACAACTTCTAAGGTTAGGCAAAGTGTTTGATAAAATGGCTCATCTACTGATTGAGATCTAATATTCCGCGGAAAGCTAATATTTTTTCCCGTAGACTGGTGCATTTCCCATAGAAATTGGTGCAGAAATAAAATACTTACGGCTATTTTCTTGTTTGAAGCGAGCGGTTTTTCTCTTGGAAATAATGCCAAAAATGACGTCACGGTCACGTGGTATTGCCACACTGAGTCTATGTTTAAAAAATAAAATGTGTAAAATTAATGTTTTGTTATGAATTAAGACTATACTGAGGTAAAAGTTTGGATATAAATCTACCTGTTGGGGTGACTGGTGAAGTTTGCCGAGTGTCAATTTCTTTGTCCTTCAACTGGCACTACACCAGTGTTGATTCGAAAGTATCCAGTTGCTAATGTAAAGTTTGTGGTTCTACACAGGTGCCCGCTTTTGTCAAAAGAATGCCCGTAATGTCATCAGAATTTTGTTCTCCAGTATTGAAATTAGAAAGTAGCCGTATGATGTTCACAGTGGCGGTGTGACTTGACATAAATGAGCCGCGTCACGACAAAACCAACATTGTGGGTTTGCGACCAGCATGGATCCAGACCAGCCTGCCCATCTGATCAGGATCCATGCTGTTCGCTATCAGTTTCTCTACTTGTAATAGAGTTGGTAAGCGAACAGCATGGATCCTGATCAGACTGCGCGGATGCGCAGGCTGGTCTGGATCCATGCTGGTCGCAAACGCACTATGTTGGTTTTGTCTTGACACGGCTCAAATATATATAAATACCGCGAGAATTATACATACTGAATAATCGACAGAAAATACTACATGTAAATGAAACTTTATATTAAGCACACTATTTTCACAAACCTTTTACACATAGTCCCAATTTATATTCACTCGCCTATTTTCATATTGGTATTTTGCTGGCCATATAAATGGGAATTAGATTTTTTTATGGAATGTGTTCTCTACTAAGTGACAGTTTAAAGGAGCTCCGAAGAGGTTAAAAGCCTAAACACATAAACTTTGATTTTTTTACATAAATAGATAATTTAAAACGCTTCTTATCGAAACATCTACAAAGAATAATTTAAAAATATACTCATTATTAAATTGAATACCGAGTTTTTGTTCAATTCTTAGCACGATTTGAGTGAAAGGCGTTACGAAGCTTTTCATTTTTGGGTCATTTGGCACAATAAAAACGATTAGTCAGGCAAATTGGGTAAAGGAATGATCAGACTATTTGTAAACAAGATATTGGTCTAGACTTACATCAAATGGTACATAAATCTTTGAAATATGTTTCATGTCCCTTCATGGCAAAAACACTCAATGGAGTCCCTTTAACACAACCTATCAGCTTGTTGAAATATAAAAGTACAGAAAAAAGCTTCCATTGCAATGTTTTTATGTACAAGCCTAACAGCTAACAGTCAGGGGACTATGGAAATAACGGGGATTCATGATTTCCTGCCATTATCTCAAGTCTAGACCGGAAGTACTGAAATATCTAAGTTTAGTACTTTGTAACCTAAATACCTCTTGACGAGCACCCGTCGCTTAAGACCATTATCTTTATATCAGCTCTTCTGAATAAAATTGTTGACTAAAATTACTTGTATATAATATTTACCTTTTTCTCGAGATTAGACAGTAAATTTCTTTTACTGGATTTGGAAAAAAAAAAAAATTTGTATATTGAAGCATCTGTGAGAAAAGCACCGAATCTGTCACAATTGGACATCCTGTGTCGAAACGTAAATATAAATGATATCAAAAAGGATATTTCCTGGTAGGGCTTCATATTAAGGAATTCAAGTGAAAAACATATAAGAATTTTCAATAATTTTATTTATTTATAAAATTCTGAAATGTAAAACCATAAATAATACATATTTATATACACAATGTTCATAAATTAACAACAATGATTATAATATATAGAGTATTATTTAGTCCATCAAACTTTTGTCTTCGTACACGCTAAGATAGTAGTGTAAAGTATGGTGTTTCATTTGGGCCATCGTACAATCGTAACATAGAAACACCTATCCGTGTGTTGAAAGAACGATGATCCCAACGGACCACCATTAACAGCGACGACCTCATTTACTTAATAGCAGTAAAGAAATGGTGTTTTAGATCCTAGGTAATAAATTTTGTGAATTCAATAAAATTAAATCACAAAATTATTAATCTTTTATCCCGCCAAAGAAGAATTATAGTTATCTACACTATTTCTTTCTATTTACATTGCCAGAAATACGCCCAATAAATTGAAGTGGATAACTAGATAACCATACCAGTTTTGATCCGTGCACATTATCATACTTCTGTATATGTACGGTAAAGGTGTATTTTTGGTGAACTTTTTTTTTAAACCATTTACCGCAATTTACTACGGTAACATCACGGGCACCTTTACAATTAAGAAACATCTGTTTACAATTTAAATCATCTCTGTATAAGATCTATAAAAACATAGAACACAGTGCAATGCTACTATAAAATCCGTGAACGCTATCATATATAACAATTACTGTACAGCATTACTTGCTACTTCATTTTTAATTAATAACACACAAAAAGACAAAATTTATATTTTAGATTTACTTAGGATGTGTGGTATTTCTATATTCATTCGAGTACGTTAGCATATTGTTATATCATCTCATCATGACTTGAAAGTCCGTTTGTGCTATCATTGTTAAGCAACCTTTGTTCAAAGCTCGAAGACAGATCTATGCACTTTTTTATGTGGCCGTAATTTTAGCGCCAAAATATGCACCTCTTAATTACGCCACCTATCTTCTGTAGGTTTATCTACTATTCATGATGCCACATTTTGGTGAAATCATCACTGACTCTATGTATATAAATCATAAGATAATATCTTTGTTACCAAATTCACGTTTAAACACGTGTGTCTATCACAGATAAGAAAAATATAAACAGGAACTGACGTAACTGTGTAATCGGCATCAGTTCCGGGAAGATGAATACCTTTATTTATATGAGAGCATATCTATTCAATCTTTGGTTAGTGGCTCTTCATGTTTTATGTTTTCATTATTGTTAAACATTAATGGCGAATCTTCGTTTCTGTAATGCTGCGCGGCAGGTGGAGTTATTTCAATCATCGGGTGGGCTTCATGGTCGCCTATAACAAGTCCATTTTGTTCATTATGTACTGAATTATCTGAAGACGAGCCCCCGTTAAGAGTATTTTTATCTGTGTTGTTCCGTGTTTTGCCATTTGGTATGTCTTTTTCCATTGTGGCACTTGTTGACGCAACAGAACCGCGCGCGCGTGAGACATATGACGTCATAGTTTCTCGTCCCGCCCGTCTGAATCCACTTCCACCGCGCTTTATTATGTAACGTTTCCATTTCTTCTTTATTTCTGTTTGTACCTTTAAAATAGAATCAGAACTGTCGATTTTTGTTCGCATGAACACGTAATAAAATAGCTGCTGTCTATATAATATATATAAAACTGGTATTTATACAGAAACGTACTGTGTTAAAGAGCTCAATTTACATCTTGTGCTTTTTACACTCCATGAAAGAAGAACGAATTGAAAGTTGTTGTTTTTATGATGTAGAAATGCTCTGTGTTCAAATTAGGCTAAAACTTTACTTCTAAATTGTCCGTGATTAAATAAATTATAATATGTAGTAGCCACCGAAACTATAATGAAAATTCTACGTTTATCAAGTCTTTTGATAGAAAGACACGAAGTCTACTGACTGCAGGATACAATAGTTATCCAGTTATTTTCAAACTTGAGTACATCTATAACACATGGCAAGATTGTATTCTGATTTCAGACTAAACAGATTTCCACACGTTCAATTTACGGCAAAAATTGTCGCTCACCGTCCGTAACTCAGCTATACCGACAACTAATGGACCATATAAAGACAGTTTGCGCTGTATGGTATAGCCTACATACAAAACCATCTCAATAACTTTAGAAAAAACTATCTGGGATTTTTTGAAGAACATGTTAACGAATTACAAAAGTCTGAAATGGATGTGCTTCTTTACCTCTCCGTTTAGAAAACAGAACAACAGACTGACTAGGAAACCCTGAAAAAAAATATAAAAAGAGAATTGTCCGCCAATTATTGAAAATACTTTCTTGTCTTTAAGGTGTTCTTTAAAGCTAGATTATTTTTTTCTAGAGATAGTCGATGCGGTTGTTGCTAGAATTGGTTTAAGTGATGAGTCTATTACCATTAATTACCAGCTGTATTGTGTTTATGATGTCATATAATATTGGTCGGTATGCTGTAGACAATCTTTACTATGTCCGTGTTCTGGACACTTACTGATTAAAAAATTATAATATCTGGTTGAATAAAGACGGATTTGGACATCTTTTGAAGAACTGATTTTAAAAAAAATAATGTTATATTTACAAGGTATAGATCTACATGAAATATATTTTTTTAATGATAAATGTGATCATACTGTTTTTGAAATATAAGTTCCATAACAAAGAAAATGATGACAATTTGGATTATAAATTTTGTAAATATAACATTAAGCCCTACTTAAAATGATGATGATGATAATAATAATGATGATAATAAAAATAATAATAATTATTATTATAATGATGATAATAATACTAAATATAATATAATAATAATAATGATGATGGCAATGATAGCAATAATAATAATAATAATGATAATAATAATAATAACACTACTACTACTACTACTACTAATAATGATAATAATAATGATAATGATAATGACAATAATAATAATAATAATAATAATAATAATAATAATAATAATAACAAAATAATAATAATGATATCGATAACTATAACAATTATGATCATAATGGAACTACTATAACTAATGATAATAAAATAACCTGGAAAGAATTGAAGAACATTTCCCAGTATAGTTTCACTAATTCGGTAGTTTCATCAACGTCATCTGGTAGGCCAATGAACACGATGTAATGGACCCCAAATAAAGGAATAAGGACTAACGTTGACTTGGCCAATTTCCTGCAGAAATAAATCATAAAAATAATTTCCCATGTTATCTAAATTTATATCTATACAAATTAAACATTTAAATGCAATATTTTGGGGAACAAATTCGAATAAAGTTTGCCCTGTCATTCTATGGATTAGATATTCTTCTATACCGACTGAGCTAGTGCCTCAGATTTGATTGGATGTGTAGCGAAGCAAAGGGGCACCACTGAGCAGGAGTTTTCTGGTACGTAACACGTCCGTCCGTGAACAAAAACGAGTCTGCAACATTTTCAATTTTGTTGTGCTGGGCGATCCTCTGGGTTTTCTTTTTTTTGACTATTTTTGGAATTCATGGAGCAAAATGATCTAATTTTATAACAGAGAAGTCGACAGTGTATTTTTTTTCATCATTTATTTTAAAACATTTTTTTTCTTCGAAAATATTAAAACGGCATCTGTTGCTTACAATGATTTAGTGTCGCTGATTAAAGTAATTGCCCCAGACCTGTATTGGTTCGAATCTCGCAACAGAAGCGGATTTTCTTTTACATGTTAGAAATCTATTTATCTTGTCGGTAAAAATCCACCCAGACATCAAAATAGTTATATCATTACTATTTGTTTTCAATTGGAAATCTAATAAACTATTTGTAACTGACTGTTTGTCTCATTTTACCGCATATTTTTAAAGAAAATATAAAACTAGCTAAATGATTTATCAAGATACAATTTTACATAAAGCTTTCCACATGCCCTATTATCTATCTACTATCTAAAACACTATCCAACACATGTTTGGTCATATTTCAAGAGTGTTTATAGACAAATTACTTGTAAAAATATTAATATCATACTTATATCCTTAGTCTCAAAATGCCAAAACAAAATCATGCGCTCGAAAATACTTACGGGACGTGAAATTATTACATGTTTCGTGACCTAATTCTCGTGACCTAATTCTTGTGACCTAATTCTCGTGACCTAATTATTGTGACACCCATTCTAATCTCGTGCAAGTATTACATAAAGCCCATATATTGTTAGACAGACATACTTTTCTCACATGCTTTTGGTATTAAATTACCAAGGAGTAAAGAGTGTGGCAATAATTATCAAAAGCAAAAAATATTGATTAAAAATAAATGATATAAATCATCTTGTAAGATAATATAATTTTCATGCAAATATATAATCAAATATTATGTTAAAAATTATAAAACATGTATTGTGAGGCAAGCTGTTGCACATGCTTTTTGTGAAAATCACGTTCATAACATTTTTTTTTATATCTTACCAAATTTTTTCTCTTCTCTTATCTTATCTGCTTATAGATGTAAAATCTGCCTTTGATATTTCTTAAGAATGATCCAAGACAAATATTTATAACTTATAACAACAAAACATATGTGGCAACGTTAAGCTGGATGAGCAGTAATATATAATCATAATGTAATGGTCCTACTTCAATTTTTTTATTTTGGGGATAGAGTTAGCAACGTTTGAACATAGCAGGATTTAAGTAAAAAACATGGCGGACATTTCGACCATTATATTTCCACAACTTGGGCTTTAGACAACATTAAATTTTGTCACGTCAATGAAATGATATTAAATTCAGGAAATCAAAAGAATTTTCCGCTGATCTAACTGAAAGGTTTTGATCTTCGTTTTTTTAAACGAATTGTCCATAAATAACTGCCCTCTATATGAAAGTCGTAAAGAAGGCAAAACCAACAGTAGCATGAGGTTCGAACTAATAATCGAAAGATGTTGATGAAATCTTGTACAATTAGATATTTTTCAGCTATTTATATAACATTGTATATACATTTTATTTACAGTTTATTTTGTAACATTTAAAATATAACTACAAACAAGCAACGTCGAAGATAAGATCATGTTTAACGTATTTCTAACTCTTGCTCTTGCGCAATAAAGCCGGAAAAAGCACAACAATCTGCCACATCTTCTCAATGAAAAAAGAAACGTTTCTAACAGTAGTAAAAGCTATCGCCTAAGTAGATATCTAAGATTCGAAAACGAAGTTTAGTAGCGCTAAATGTTAGAATTGCATTCAACTACATACCTATACCGGTACCTTTTAACATCCGGGGTTTTAAATGCGTTCAGCTTGGTGAATAAAACTCTTATAATGTTGAGAAATATGAAAAAGTTGACCTGAAAAATATGAAGAATGTTTAAGATTAAAAAACGTATATCATACACCAAAAGCTCTATAAAGTCGGCAATTTTCTTTACTTTTAGTCTGACAGTTAGTATTCATCTGAATTCGGCAATCGACGTTAATTTCCGTCTGAATTTAATTTTCGCTACTTATATTCATTTAAAACATAAATATTTGTTAAGAATATTTAACATCTCTAACACAGGATTTGCCCTTGGTGTTGCTTTAAATTTGTAACACCTAAGGTAAGCCAAAATCATCTTCCCTGTTTCGGCGCCACATGACCTTAAATGTGTTAGTGTGTATGATACGGAAAGTTACGAAATTTGCCGAAGTTTTACAAAATTATATTAGAAGCGCATTATATTATGACAATTTTAGTGTTAATGTTAAAAAATTTACGGAAAAAATGATGAAATTAAAGAAATATACATTTTAACAATTTTGAGTGACATGACGATACATTGTGTCAAAAGAGTTTGTTTAATATAGAGAAAATTCCCTTCTTGACCAACTTGTTATAATCCCTTCAGACTTATAACTCGGTTTAGTGCTTTAACTTCAGCTTTGATTTCCAAATCAATTACTTTAGTATCATGTCTTTTTTATTTTGGAGACGAATAACTTTATCACATACATAACAGGAAATATGACGTTATAAATAGTCAAATGTAAGATATGCTGGTATTCTTTTGGACAAACACATTACTAATTTGACAAACGCAAATACTCATTTAGTTTATGCGAATTGATTTTAGTTCGAGTGTGAGATTATTGAAACATTCTCGAATCCGTCCTTGGAACCAACCACTGTGAAGTTTCTTGCTCACGGAAACAACGGCTGACAGGGTTTGAACCCACGTGGCCAGCCTTAGATTACTAGTCCGATGCGTTAACCACTTCGTCACGCCGCCATTACTCGTTAGAATATTAAAATTACTTATAAGGCTTTTCATGTGCAGAGTATATGGATAAAGTATTACTTGAATTGATAAATCGACGGGTGTTCGAGTACTTACAACCATGGCCACAACCATTGGACCTCGGATCATCCAGAAGTACCCATGTGTAGGATGCGTATTCCAACATCTGTAAATGTTAAAAAAGACACATTAAAATTATACTTATCTTATTTTCAGTTCGGTTATGTCAAGAAGATTGTGATATTTGTGCATCTGAAGTGTGTGTTTCAGTTGTAATGAATGACTTATATCAAGACAAATAACAACACAGATTCGCTTATATAATAAAATTAATTATTTCAAATTTGCTTAAAATTAATTATTCAAAGGCCGTACCAGCTGCGCTTTAAAATGTTAGAAAAGGAAATGGAGGGTTAGACTTTTTTCCCAAATAGTATTAATTAATTTCAAACATTAAATCAGTAAGGTTTTTTTTCTGTCAAAAGATTTCCTAAATGTGCTGACCTTTTAATAGTAACATAAGGGATAATTTTGAGGCACAAAGTGGTGATAATTTATCTCCATGCAATTTCCACGGAGTATTAGCCAAAGATATGAATTATGAGCCAAAAGTAGGTGACACTGTACGGCGGCCAATAATGTAATGTGTCTGCGTGTTTAACACCTTGACAGTAACTGTATATCTTGTACTAGGCGCCATTGAACATAACGAATATTCAAGCCAAAGTCGTGTCGTAAAAATGATGATTATACACATTTAAAATCAATGCAAGGGGACATATTCGAACACTAGCCCCGGCAAAATGTATTGATGTGACGAAGATTCTGGCTAAACAATTTTCATATCTCTTTCATTGTAATTCTTTCTTGTTTATGTGTAGGAAATGTATTCTAGAATAATGCTCAGCAACTAGTTCACTTCATGTGTAAAAGATTTTGAAATATTTGGAATTGTGTATTTGCCACATAGAACTAAGAAAATAGTTTAAATTAAGGTCCCCTGCTTCTCCCCCCCCCTCCCGCACAGTGACTATGTGACTGTGTCACGCTACATTGCCGTTTTTATCAAACAATAGTAGATTATATTCTGACTAAACAAAAGATTCGTGCGCGTTTGTAACAAATCATGACATTAGAACCTTTCCTAGCAAGTCTATAATCGACTCCTTTATTTTTTCTCTGCAATAATAATTTGTACCTAATTTATGACTTTGGACACCACTCAGAGTAAATCATTATTATGGTTGTTTGTTATGTAAGCATGTGAAAATAGTAGGAAAATAGTGTTTAAACAATATCACATCAAATAAACAATATCTTAAATGTATGCTTCTCTTTTTCCCAGAAGAAATTACTACATTCAGTAAATATATTTGCTATATTAAGCAAACGTTACAATAAAAGCAAACAAGATGTATTGAATTACATTGCAATGTAAACAACCCGACGTGGAGTGAAGGACTGACACTATTTGCAGATAGTTAAAAATCTATAGTAAAAATAAGTCGATCTGAAAATCAATATTAAAAAAAACTTACAACACGTCTTCTAAAGTTGCACGTACTATAACCCATGGTATTACAAACAAAATCGGCGTGCCTGAAAAAAAAAGAGATTATGAAGCATAAAAACCCCAGTCTGCATGCTCGACGCTTTTTGATTGGTCAATTTGAAATTGTTATTTGAATCGTCCAATCAAATTTGAACAAAAAACCAGACTGGCTTTCAGACAACACTTTTTATCGAAACTCTGACTAAAGTACGAAGAGAAACCCAATGCATTGTTAATTTTTAAATAGATCAGATATAATCAATAACACTGCTTTGAAGTATAATAGATTAAACAGATATAGGAATGACACTGCAGAAAAACGAAAAAACATAATGTCTTACGGTACGTTGGGGGTCATTTTTAATATCATTTTTAAACCTCTTGTTTGAAAATACTTCCTTAGAGACGACGTTTACAATTGTGTCCAACATTGACATGCAAATACTTCATACTCAAACATGAAACTATTGATATAAAAATAGAAAAGAATTGATAGGATCTGTGCATGCGTTCACCACTTGAAACGTCGGGACATGGGGCAATAACCTTGGATGATTGATTTGAGTTTCACGAAGATCATCACAAGAAGCAAAAAAATCAAGGCCACGATGTCACACTTACCCCATCCAAACAAGACGAGCTTTTTAATTCCAGATTTTTCCGAGAACATTGCAACTGTAATCAGCATGTGTAGATATATCCCTTCTGTAAAGATCCACATGTAGTTGGCACCAAGAATGTAATTAAACATCGAAAAGAACGTTTTGCATTGCCAGTGCTGAATAAAAAAGAAACGAAATAATAAATATAATTATGGCTTTAATCAAATACAATGTAATATTAATATTATTCTCAATTTACAATAATGTTTACATGTACTCGCAACTTACAATAATGTTCGCAATTTACAATTATATTGACTCGCAATTTACAATAACATTAATCCGCAATTTACAATAACTTTAACCTTGGTTACTGATAGCTTTCACTCGCAATTTACCATATGTTTACTCCTAATTTACAATAACGCTCACTTTTTTGCTATTTTTAGCCTGACATATTCATTAACTAAAAACATAACAATATGCCTTTATCAGGCTGAGCAAACATGTCCTATATTAGAAAAGAGAGAATAAATACATGACGTTTTACCAAAACGTATATTTTTCTTTAAAAATTGTTTTGCCATTTCAACACCTTTTGAAATTTGAAACATGCTTCTTTTATTGACGTCGAATTTATACAGAGGCCGTTGACTCATTATTTCAGAAAGGTTTTATAGTTACAAGTCTAAAATATTTTTTTTGCTTGTCCTTAACCTGTTTCTGAATTTCTTTCTAAAACATTGGCCGACAATTTCAATCGAAATAAAAACCAACTTTTGTGTTTTTATTGCAGTGCGCAATAACATGTGAGAGATGTTTATGGTCGTTGGTAGGGTTAATGGCCTGCCGGAAATCCGCTTAAAGATTGTCTTCCCTTTTGCTAAGACGTAAGCGAGGCAGCTGAAATTCTTTTATTTTTGTCTGTTTTTTTTTAATTCATTGACCTGATTATTTTGACAGGAACCATGAATCTCATAACCTAAATTTACCGAATTTCAAGCAAAGTATTCGAGTTTTGGATCCTATTTTATTTTACATGTTTTCCTGAAATAATGAAATAGTCTGACTTTGACCCCATAAAGATAATGTTTGCGCCAGGCAGTTATAATCTGAGTTATTAATATTACAGGGTAATTTGGAATTTTTTGTTCAGTTCCGTCACTTTCCGCGTCACATATTTCGAAATTAGTGTAAATGTAAACAAAAGCTGTGAGGAACATCTTTCTTTCTCAATGTTTTCCGAATAAATATCAGATATTGAATTTTATAGTAACTCTGCTTCGCTGGGTTTTCCTAAACGCAACTGATACATCATGTCTGAATAGACCATCATATCCTTCAATGACGTATTCAGTGATGTCATCCGCCCAAGCCATAAGATATTGTTGTTATACATACACATTCATGATTAAATAACCTTTTAAGTAAACCATTATGTAACACACAGGGAAAACAAATTTGCAAAGATACATTCATATATTCAAATGAAAATGAAGCCAAATTGCTTTTATGGTTGTCTATGACATAGAACAGAAAAAACAGAAACAGTAATCCCCAGTCTCGTTTAAAACATCTGACTAATTGAGGTCATTACGTAATCCCTAATACGATCTGTCCGATGTTGTTCCGGTGAAACTTAAAAGCAATGTAATTAGCAGCAGATGACAAGAGCAGACGGTAAGTGGACATTTAAGGAAATAAGATAGATCTATAGAAATTTCTAACAGTCAAGCATTAATTACGTATATTTCTTTGATTTTCTGAAATTATCTAACCTTTTTCGAAGTAATTAATTTCCCGTGGGATGTTATCTTATGATTTTGTCTCTTTTACGTGTTTATTGTACATGTATTGATAATGTCGTTTTAGTACAAGTCACGAAAACCCTTTAAAAATTAATGTAGCAATATAAAACCAGTATAAAATGAGGTTTTAATCTAGAAAATACCAATGCAGACAACACAATATTTCTACGACGTTAAATCAACTGTGGACAATACGTACCGAACTGTCTTCCAAGAAACGTACATTGCCATTTGTTGCGACTTCTACATCAAAACTAAAGCCGACTTGATTGACAAGAGCGTTCTCTTTGACGAATGAAATGATAGCACGGAAGATGAACGAGACGAACAAATTGATGTGAATGGTGTTTCTGGGACAATGAAGACGTCTGAAATTGTTAAAAAGCATATTGAAGTATCAAACTTTGATTCTTTGAAACATGTAATTTTATGGTATATATTTACAGCAGTTAATATTTTTGACCATTTTAGTTTATAAGACAATAACTGCAATTTTGTAACGTCGCTTTTCATTTGACAATCATGAGGTTTATATAGTTTTATATATACTGCTGCTGTCAATTTACAAAGAAAGCCCACTTCTGTCTCCGAAACGGGAGTTTGCTGTATTATAAATTCGTTGTAAAGATTCCTGAGAGGTTATGTGATTATTAACAGTTGCTTGTATATATAACCCGAGCCGATAGGCAATGATATATCATATCAAAAGTCTTTATAACCAATAAAATATACTACCATTTACGCATGTACATACTGTATTTTTGGAAAGAAACTTTTGTGTTTGTTGAAAAGCAAATCCAGCAAGAAATGTACATTTATATAATAACATTTACAAATAATTATTATAGTATTACTTTTGTCTTATGTTTCATTACAAAGAGATGAGCTGAGCACTTGTGTTATATAACAAACAGACATTTTATCTACAGCTATAATAAAGTGATTTGATATTCCAAACTAAAAAATAATAATCTCTATACATTTATTTGGATACCTTGACGACACTTTTCACAATTTACATCAATTTCTGCGTACAAAAGGACACTTATTTTATAAAATAAATTAATCTGAAAAAATATCCTTTTATGGGTGTAAAATCAAGTACTTTTGAGACATTATATTCTATATTTTGTAGGTTCTTTCGTAGAAAACAGATATATCATTTTTTTGTATCAATGTCAGATATTATAAAATTTGGATTAACACACATAAAGGGATATTTTCTGATGGATTTTTTAAAATAAGTTTTATAATTTACATTTCCTTTACATGAGAAGATAGCTAATTGAATGTTTTAAAGCACCTGATGCCCGGACAAGTGATTTTGCAACAAAGTTAAGCATAATAGAAAACGGTATTTCAATAATTTGTACTGAAAATGAAATAGAAAGTTGGGATTTAAAAGAACTAATGTAACATAAAATAGGCAAACTACTGAGATCGATTTAGTACGTTATATTTCTCTTCTTCACATGCAACTTCCTATGGAATAAGTAACTATTGTTATGAATTTATACAGAGGTTTCTCCGTCCCAGATGAAATCACTTGTATTTCAACAATTAAAACTAAAGGTACTGTTTTATTAGATTTCGGCTAACAGACTTCACATATTCTGGTTTGGTGTCACGACGCACCAATACAATAGACTTACCAATTTTACTAGTGGAGGAAATTAACTCCGTGCATTATTTCAGGTAAGAACGAGCACATGATAAGAAGACCACCCACGTTCCGTAAGCAAGCTTAATTCCACTAAATATGCTATAATCAATGACCACGAAGGACAAGAAATAAATAAAAATACAAGTGAAGTATTGGGCAAAAATTCTCAGGACTATGTGTTGTTCAGTTTCGCATTGTTGTTATTCTAAACATTCTTATACTACGTTATGTGTTCGGAATCCCATGTTGTGCTGGGCTCGTTGTCGGTGGTCTTTCGTTTTGGGATGCGTTTATTGAATGCCTCCCTTCATTGTTTTTCATATTTTACCCTTACCATATTAAATATATTAAATGGAAATGTTAATCTTTCAGTCTGGACAAAACAATTCACCATTTGTAAGGAAATTTTCAGATAAATTCTGACTGAATAGCAAACAATGCAAGCAATACCCAGAAAGCACAGATATGCCGACTGATCTTGGCCTGCACTTGTCGCATCGGTAGAGTTAGTTGACATCAACAGAGTTAGGTTTAAGTAAAATAAACACCAGCTGGCGACACTTTCGTGGTCGTAGAAGATTTCAAATGTCAATTAACAGGCACAGGCAGACACTTAAAAAATCATCAACACTCCGTAAGCAGTTGGAAATCTCTTCACATCAAGGCACACGAGTTTCTATGCAGAATAATATACGCAAACAGACATTGGAAAAAAAGGAAATGAATAAAAAATCTTTTAGATAAGATAGGCAAAAGCGGATTATCCTAAAAACGCATAAAACAGCAAAATTAAAATTTCTGCAGTCTAAGTTTGATTTAGCCTTTTTCTGGACAGAAGTGGTAACTGCAATTTTGCAAGCTACTGTCCTTAGCATCTGTTTAAACAGAATTCAATATTTAAACATAACCCTCATCTCTATAAACACAAACAAATGTAAATTTATAAAAGAATAAATATTTTGTATCTTACTTGAAGTAGATCATGATTGCGACTGCCAGAAGAAGGGAGACAAGTGAGATCCCGTATCCAATGTTGTACATTAGTTGAATACGACCCATATGTGCCTGAAATACGTCATATATACATTCATCATGATGTCAAAATCTGTTTATATCCACCATAATGTAAGTTCAAAATGTCTTTAGTAAACTATGAATGATAAATGTGATATATTAGAATGTGTAACAATCATTATGTTAAAATATTTTGATAAGGTAGTAGACCCATCGAGAACAATAAAAACTGAATGCACTTTTGTAGACACAGTTCAAGAAACGCAATGCCAATAGCTACATCTCTCACACCAACCCCTAGCACCGTCTCAATCAGTATACATTCTTTTCTCCGAATAAAAGTGCTGCCGCAGCACTTACCACTCATAGTAGTTAAAAAAGAAAGATCTCTCGGAAATAGTGACGACAAAAAAGAGATATTGTTATATATCTGATGCTAACATCTAAAGTAGAAAATTACAAACTTAATCCAATCTGTTTACATAATAATGTGTGTGTCAAAATGAATTAAATGATGAATATGATGATGATGATGATGATGATGAAGATGGCGATGCTGTTGTTGATGATGCTGTTTCTTTTAATGATGATGATGAATAGAAGGCATTTCATATTGAAGCATTTAATTTAGAGGTATATAGTAACATAACTGTCCTTATTATTGATTGTTTCGTCTTGACATAATTGTCGCACACTTAATTGTATGTCAAATAAATGTACTATATCACGTTTCTTTAAATTACGAAAATACACGAGAACAACCGATCTAGAACGGAAATATTTTTAACCTCATACACTTCTCATATGTCATATAGATTGCTTTTAATGTAATCAATCTCCCACAAAATCATCTCTCCAACTAGATCGATTTATGGATACCATACCATTTCGTTTGTCTTCTATTTTAAAACAAAAAACATTCATACTGAAACAAAAAATAAAATAAATATCGGACAATCTCGAACACCACCGAGGAGCAAGCGGAAATCCGTAATTTAACGGAAACTACTGAATAAAAACACCAGTCAATTATTTTATAAATATAACGAGCACAAATATTTCCTTTGTGGCGGCATGGCCGAGTGGTTAACGCTTCGGACTAGTAATCTAATGATCGCTAGCCGCATGGGTTCAAACCCTGACAGGGGCAAGTCGTTGTTTCCTTGAGCAAGAAACTTTACACTCATTGCTCAGTACTGGTTGGTTCCAGGAACGGATTCGAAAGTGCGTTTATAAGCTTATAGCTTCCTGCACAATCGAACTAAAATAAATTCTGTATAAACCAAATATGTCCTTTGTATCCGCTTAAAGGAAATTACCCCGCGTTACATGATAAATCTGAGATCAAATTAGAAATGTGCGTGCTTAGACTAATATATATTGTCCATTTCTATCTTAGATTTGTCATATGCTAAACCTCCGCCATTAGTCCGCAGATATTCGTAATTTGTAGCATTTATTTAGTATTGCAATTGTAAGCCTCTTAAAGCAGATAACATGTCAAAATTAATGCTAAAATGCCAATTAGTTAAGCTGTTGAAATGTCTTAATAATGGGCACTATCTACAAATACTATGAAATGGCATATTACTTTAACAAATATATGTGGATGATGTTAAATATTACAAACATTGATGACCGTAAGTCTTATTTAAATGCATTTTATTATTGCAATGCATTTAGAAAATTTAATTAATGTAGAGCAACATAATGGAGTAATAGGTTTAAAGATTGCTTAAGAGGCGAATGTTTAACTTAAAGTATGTGGCCTACTCTTCGCCAAAATAAGAATGCCTAGATATGAAAATTAAGCCTCATTATTTGTCATGTTTATCTAATCATTTATTCTTTCTTTCTTTGATAAACTGCGTGTAGAACAACGGCTTAGTCTCTTTTTAGCAGCTTAAATTGTTAGAGTTTTGTCTCACTATTACTTAAATAATAATTGTATTTCATGGTTGTAATTTAGAACACTAAAAATCACACATAAACGAACGAACAAACGAAAGAACAAGCGAAAAAGCAAAACTACGGTTGATTTTTATTTACTTTTTAGAAACACTAATGAGATTTTTGATAGTTCTAAACAGTTTTATATTTAGTAAGAATAAGTGAAAATTATTGTTAAAATATGTCTGTGTTAAAGTTATGCTCAAGATTAAATTCATTTTGCTTCAAAAAGGCAATTTCTACCACACATCATTAATTACATCATACCGCAATAATCTTCGGAACATCGTACAGGTTGTCAGAATTTCTATCTGCGCAAAGAGTAAAGTTCGTCCAGGTGCCGTTCGTTAACGGATTGACCCACCATTCACCCGTGCTGTCACATGTTCTTGTTGCCAGCCCTGTAGAAATGCATATATAATTTATGTTGTCTTTTGTAGTAGATTTTATATATTTACTTCAAATAGCCTCAAAAGCGGTCGAGGACAACATAGAAATACACATGACTGACAAGGAAATAACCTACAAAGACCTAGAAAGACCTACAAAATTTTAGAGCTGTGAAGTCCTAGAATACTGAGTATCTTACACTCTGTTTATGCCGCACGGCAGCCGATGTATATGATTCATCGCAATCTTAAGAAAAAAAAGCTATTTTCTAAATAAATTTAAAATTATTGATATCACCTTATTTTCAATAAAGCATATATTTGCTTTTAATATACTTTTAAATGTTGGACTTTTCAAAGAGAAGTAAATTTACAATTTGATATCAGTTCAATGTACAAATGTATCTATTTTTCTAATGATTGACTATTCATACCCTTATTTATACTAGATGTTTGAAGGAACATTAAGCCTCAGTCGTGCCCACTAAATCTAATTACAATTTTGTAATGTTAACGGTACAATTTTTCTTCCTAAATATTATTGTCAAGGGCAACAATTGGTTTTAAGGATACATTGAAGTTATCGAGGAAAAAATACGTAGGACGTGCTCTTTAAACGCTAAAATACCTTGAATAGTACCTGAAATGCCATGCAGAACTTAAGTTCAGCTTAAATATATTGGATTTGATTTATTGATTACATTTGTATAAAAAATTACCCCATCGAATTGCGGAAAAGGGATATTCTGTAGCACTACATGTATGTACCTTGCAAAAGCTTAACAAAGAGAAACATGTATATAATAATACGAGAACAGTATACAAACAATGCGGTCATAATTAAAATTGCTTAATTACTTGAATGAGGTTAATGTACATTATCCTCTATAGTGAAAATAACAGAAGTAATATACAATGTATAAACAAAGCATATATTGATACTTACCACTTATTTTAAACCCATTTACATAGTTTGGACAAGGCATGGATGCCACAGTTCCATTTTCAGTAGGTGGCCAACACAAGAGACTATCCCAAACACGTTCGCAGCCATTGTCTGAAAACAACAACAACAAAATTGCAAGTTAATATGAAAAGTATTAATCCGAGTTAGAAGGTCAAGTATTTCAATATGATCACCGGAAGGTCAATGGTACAAGAACCGAGAATCTGTTGAGAGAAGACATCAAAGTGATTGAAGTAATATAGAAAGTGGCTACTGAAAGTTTTCATTTGCTAGTAGAAAAATGTCATCTTTTGATTTGTAAAAAAATAGGACAAAATAAACAAAAGATAGACAAAACACTCTTTTGATGCTTGATCCCAAAGGCATAATGCTATTTTGGCATTATCCGATGATTCGATAACTGAAATAAAAAAGTAGTAACTAAAACTCATAGAAATAATGTTATAGCTGCATTAAAGAAGTCAACCATACACTAAAGCCTAAAACTATATATATAGATAGTTCTAACTCCTATATATCTTCATCTAATAAAGCATAACTTGAAACTATAAATAGATAGATAAATTCATACACATTTTTTCTTGTCTTGTTGACGACAGCACAACATTTTTAAAGGTTATAAAGCTATATGTAATGAAATATTTAAAACAATAATTACTAGTATAAACAGTACAATTATGAATGTTGCTCGAAAGAATTGTAACATAAAATGTCTCTGTACATGAATATTTTAATTATACATAATAAAATGTCCCGGAACAAAATAACAGGCTGTTAATTTAAGTAATGGTTGTGACCATTTATAAATAATTGATTTCTTGCATATGTACCTAGCATTGATTCTAAAGGAAACATACAGACATTTTTGTATACAGATATTTTAGAAAAAAAAAATTCTTTGTCAAAATTAAAACAATCGTTTGAACAGAAGAAACATAAGTGTATAACGGTATATCAAGCTTTTATGAGTCTGATCGTTAAATATTTTTATCGAGTAAGAAATCGTTCATATGTTTATGGCAAGAAAAAACATACCTTTCAATAAAAACGTGACTCTAAATATCTTATATTTTTCGATTTTCGTATCACGAATAATATTTTTTAATATATTACTGTATATTTCTATGTAATTTTAACCATACAAACTGTATATGTTTTGTCACGCAATCTAATTCATTTTCATTTACGAATTCCTTCCAATAAAATTTGTCTTTCTCGGTTATAAATTTACATGTCAATTTTGGTTCCTAGACTATAACAGAAAAGAATCATTTTTACTTCAGAATCTTATGAACTGAAAATAAATGGCTTATGTTAGATTTCTCTTTGATATCTGAATCAGTATCATTTCAAATGGTACATATTCCAACAAAAGATATATAGTTTTCCCAGAAATACAGACACTTTTATTTGTTTTCCATCGTTGAGAAACATTGGTTTTCTTTATACCTTATTTATTAAATAAAATGTCATAACGGAGAAAGCCTGCCTGGAAATGCAGAGACATATTTGCTGTCCATAAATGAGAAACCTTAATGTACTTTACATTTAATTTATTACATAAAATTATCAATATGCAATAAAATAAATTTTATCAGACAAATATTCAGAACAATAACACTAAGATTTGCTGAACTTTCAGATGATCTTTTTCTTGTCTTTATGCAATGATGCTTTGTATGGTGAAACTGATTGTTAATAAGACAAGGATTTGTAAATTTCACTTAAAAAGCATAATGTTTATTATGAAACATGAACGAATACAAATGTAAATAATTTGGGTTCCAAAGTTAACCTATTACTCCAAGAAATAGTATTTAATGATATTTCATAACTTTATTCCAATATTTAGACCAAGACTTATAAATTTGAAATATCAAACAACTAAAATGTATTTTTCTAAATGAAGCAGATCAAAAGCTGAAGAAAGGTTGTCTTTGCACTATTTAAATACAGAGACTGACAGAGAATTGTCCGATTTGAAAGAAATGTACGTTTTGGCAACCTTTATGGTATAGAAGATGAACACAATTTTGTTTTAATTTGTTAGAAAATATATTACAACCTAACCAGGTGATGATATACAGTCTGTCATGTAAAAACTCATTGAACTTTTCATACATGTTGTAAAAACACTTTGAATAAAGAAGCAATATTTTGTAATAAATCATTTAGTGTCATAAAGGAAAACATGAATAATTTATATAATCGATAATAATGATTGTTACATTTGTATATTTGTATTTTTATTTCTGCTGTATTTAATGTATATCATATTTATATAATTACTGTTATGTTTAAGACAAGATCATGTTGAATTATATGTTCATGCCAAATTACATTCTTTTTATGTCTTTGCTGTAATAACTGTTATGTTCAAGTCAAGATCATGTCTAATAATATATGTTCATGCCGAAGTACATTTCTATTTCTTTCTTTGCTCTTATCAACTAAACCGACTCATTAATTCAAATAAACATAAATGAAATAAATTCACTTTAGAAACTGTCCTATCTGTCTCTAAGATATTTCACCCATTTGCAATACGGAAAAAAATCTTTCAAAAATGTTTATCGAATTAAAATGACGAAATACGCTTGCGCAGTTATATTTCTCTGAATTAAGTCGATTATGCATATTTTATTACTTTATAAAGAATTGATCTGTCAAATTCCGAACAAAACATTAACAATGACTTAAGTGCATTCCGCTTTACTTTGCAACTGAATATTATTTCTCTAATAAACTAAGATTTAATGTATTTGTAAATATCTCTTACAGTTGTATTTCGCAATTTTCCCTTTTCTCGTTTTGAGCTTCATAATTCTGATTATAACGTGCACTAGATTCAGTTACGACTAATGTTTCATTAAATCATTAAATACTTGCCTAAAATTTGAATTTCTGATAAGTTATCGTTTTTGAAGAATAGTATATTTTTTTCAAAAATCTCGTTGAATGACAAATATATCATCCACACATTTGATATCATAGTTTTTCTTCTGTTTGCTGTTTAAACAGACATGTGAAATGTTATAATGAATAAACACGCTTAAACATTATACAAAACTGTAAATATCAATCAAAATATAAAACAAACCTAAAACATATGAATATATATAAAGGTTGTGTATATATATACAACGTTTATTCATATTCATATGTTTTAGATTTTAATATATACACATACATATATTGTCACATACATTGTAACATCAAATGCAAAGTAAACAGAACGTTTATTCATAAATCCCTTTTCGTCTTTGTGTTTTCGTGCCTTGCGTACTTTGATATGGGCATGTGGCCTCGACCCATGACAGTTATGAAGTAAGGAGACACGCTAAGAAAATAAAAAAGATTGTATTCCAATTGTTAGTCAGGATCGCTGGTAAGGTGCCATTAACTGACTTCGAGGCTATGAGCATGCGGAATGTAATATTATCTCGCCGCACAGTAATTATACTTTATGGGAATATTTGTCCGCACATGTTTTTATGTTAAAAATCAAATATGCATATAAAACGATTACATATAAAAAGGTGATAGGGATTTATTTGAAAATTATATACAATTTAAGTGTATTTTTCTTGTATTTCGTAATTATAAGTAAAATGAATGAAGACGTTTCTGAATTTCTGAATCAGTTCTATTTTTCATTGATGAAATAATAACCTTATTTCAAACATTGCTATACGAAACTAGTTCATGCAATGTACATGCACTCTTTTGGGTAAGTTTCCCTTTTTTGGGTAAGTTTCCCCTTTTTGGATAAGTTTCCTTTTTTTTGGATAAGTTTCCCTTTTTGATATGTTGCACTTATTTTGGATAAGTTTCCCTTTTTTGGATAAGTTTCTTTTCATTACTAGGTGATACTTATTTGGAAAAAAATCCAAAATTTTTTGGATAAGTTACACATAACAAAATATTAACGGTGATTATGTTTGTCAAATTCTATTTAGCGGGACAATATCAAATATATGTACTTTCTACTTTTGATACAAGAACTAAAATGCAAAATTCCTAAGCCAGTATTTTTGTAAAAGTCACAAAGACTATGAAGTAAAACATCAGTTTTGTATCTTCACATTGTGATGTAATGTTTACTGATATAAGCAAATATTCAAAGACTAGGAAAAGAAAAGATTACTGTCACAGTTCATTAACGAAGTCGACATAATAGTTGAAGCCTTGATCATTGCACATCGACTTGATTAAATTAACTAATGTTAACAATTAACAATCACTTGCTTAATCTCTCTTATAATCGTTATAAAAGTAAGTATAATCTATATAAACAATAACAACGATAACTAAACGATGAATTGTTCAATAATTATTTAAAACTATTAAAGTTTTCAAACACGAAACAATTCTGCTCATAAACAAGCAAATCAGCAAACCCGTATACGTAGGTTTCCCGTCTATTTATGTGTAAAACTTTATCCTAATTTTGATATGATTTAAATTTAATAAAATACATAGAATATTAAATCTTCATGACAGTAAGTGTTAACATTGTGCAAAAGTGCCTACCTTCTGGGATTTCTAGGTATTGTAATGTATAATTTATTATCAATATTACGACTAGGTTCTGTCTGTTTCCGACAGGAAACACTACACTTTATTAAAGGTGCGTGCTTTTGATTTTATTACAATATTGAATAAAAAAGAGTGGGAAAATATGTATTTGTCATTTTATGATACCATTAAGCAAGATTTGTAATGTATGCAAAAATAACTCTCAGTATATAGTATAATTCTAATTCGAACACAGACTTACTCAGATAAACACACAAAAACATTCATTTAGTATTTTTCATAGCTCATTAGCCTCGATTGATCGATGACAGTTTTCATGGAATTCTTCGTAATTTTTGTGTGGGTGCAATTTGTAACTTACATCTTTTCTGTGGTTTTTGCACATTTGATCTGATTTCAGTAACGCGAATATGTCATTTTTAATAGAATGAGATATCTATGAGATAGACTTAATTGTTACCATAATTTGTATAAAAACAGTGATAATTAGACAGATATATACCTAGATAATGTATGGATATTTTATACTGAAAAGAAAGTTTAGCTGATTA